CATTTCTTCCATGAGGAGAGAGAAAAAAGAGCAAGAGGCAGAGGAAGAGCTGCCAGCTGTCAGTAGGGCCCACGTGCCGCGGTCCGCCCGTCTCAGCCAGCCTGGGTAATGAGCACGTGGGCACACCCAGCGCCCTCACCTCCTTCTGGTCATTCAGTCGTCCGTTCTCCGTTGCTAGAGGGCCTGTGCTTTTTTGCTGAATTGCAAGCGTAGGGCGAGGATGTTTTCGGGTGTGTCCATGGAAACAATCCTTTATACTTATTTTGTCTCTTAGGGCATAAAGATACTGTCTGTGGCCACATAGCTGATGTGCAAACATATTACAAGTCATATAAACATGTCGAGTCTTGCAGGTTACACACGCCGAAACATCTGCTGACTCTCGTTAAGCACATTCAGTAAGGCCTACGAAGCTGTCTGCAGTCTCTGCCGAAGGAAGTGTTCCTCGGTGCTCGTGTATCTTGGCACCAGTGCCCTAAGATGGACAGTCATGCAGAACAGAAGGACGGGGCTTCTGGGGGAGAGCAGGGGAAGGCTTCACCGAGAACGCAGTTACACGAAGACCCAGAGACCATGGGAAGGAGGCCGTTGGGTGTCTGCCCAATCAATAGCGTGGTTTTACTGCATTAGCTCAGGAAGCACGCTACAATTCTGTTTTCCGTTCTCCCTCTTTGTGCTTCCCGAGACAGGCGAACAGTTAAAGTACGTCATCCAGGTAAGCTGGAAGGTCCTACACTGGGACCCCTCTGGACAGCAATGGAGAGGAAGGGCTGGGTGGGAAGGGCCGGGCAGCTGCGGGGGGCGGGGGGCATCATTTCCAGTCCTCTCCGGTAATCAGAGTTCCGTCCTACAAACGGGGTGAGAAGCTCACGGTAGTTCAACAGCTTGCCCGTCTTACCTTTCTGTCTGGAAAAGTCCACCATCACACTATCGCATCCCCTTACCTCGTGGTCATTTCCTTACAGCTCGGCTCTTCCTCTCTTCCTCATTTTAGTAACAGTCTCGTTATCTCTGTACTCACCTATGCCAGAAGCTCGGAGTCATTTGCCTTGTCTCTTCCTCACCCCCATATGTAATTAGGCCCTGCTTCCAGGTCGTCTGCCTCTCAGCAACTTCACCTTCTTCCCCGCTCCCATGGCTGATGCCAAGGTCTGGGCTGGAGAGGACTTCGGCCATCTCTTTGCTAATACCACTGCCCCTGCAGGGCATTCCCTGGCCGGCTCTATTAGACAGAATCTTCAGGGTTCAGGCCTTTCCTCCTCTGCAGTCTTGTTTCGTTTTCCCATCTGCTTCCGACAGACCAGCCACGCCGAGAGAGTCTCGAGCAGCCGCAGGGGTTCACGACTCAGCCGGCAGGTGTTCCCGCCTCAGCTGCCTGTACTCCCTGCTCGGCCTGGAAGGTCTGTCTCCGCGCGGTGGACACTTCTTCCAGGCCCTAAATTACGCTTCCCCAACTTCGCGAATTGGGCTCACTTTTACAAACTTTAATTTTACACATCTTGCTCATGTTGCACTCTCAGTGTCTAGTTTTAAGCCGGTTTTGATTACTGAGTGGATGTTTTATTTCCTTGTTAAAATTTTTGTTGTGAAAGAAAGCAGTCCTGACCAGTCTGTGGAACACAAGGTCCGTTAACTCTCGACCTCAGTGAGGCGCTAGCCCGAGGCTTCGCATGCGGCCACACCGCTCAGGGCTTCTGGCCACACAGCCCTGTCCGAGCTCGCGGGCGACGAGCTGAGGCTGCAGAAGGGTCCGAGGCCCGGTGCTCTTGAACGGGAGACGCACAGGAGAGGCACGGCGGTCACTGGCCGGCGTCACTTCCAGTGAACCTGTGACTCTCTCAGCAAACGATCTGTAAACTCCCCTCTTCTGCCGATTTTTTATTATATAAGCCGGCATTTTCGGTCACCATTTTGATGAGCACATGTCTGAGAAACTAAATATTGGCTCATTCGGGCAAGTTATCCTAAACCCTGGCTAAACCGTCTTTATTTCACTTCCTGCCTTCTCAGCCTTTTATCCACCTGTTCCATGAAAGTGAGAGACAGAGGTTGGGGAGAGAGACAAGCATTCTTAACAGAGTCTCGTACTACAACCCCACCCCTGCCTTCCCAGCCAGCCAGAATCGGGGCTCACACGCGTGATAGACACAGGTCGAAGGAGGAACCAGACTCACGACTTGCCTAGGGGTCCAGCATCGCTCGCCCAGTGTTGCCGCTGCGCCACTGAGCTGGCCTAACCCCATTCACCTCAGAGCAGGTAAAGAGCAAGCTTTGCTTGGCGACAAGAAGGCGGTTTAGAAAAGACTTGCGAATGGAGTCAAGGAATGCAAGCCTTGCACTCCCACCCCCCCCCGCCCTTTTTAAGAGGTTTTCGCTGTAGGGCGCGTGCGCTCGCCAGACAGAGAGACAGAGACAGAGAGACAGAAAGCGAGAAATCACCCCCCAGAGGGGATGGCCACGTCGCAATCCCTGCTCCTCCATTCTCCTCTCGGGATCTTGGGCACGCACGCACACGCGCCCGGCGTGAGTTCTAAGCCACCGGGTCCGGGACGCGAACCGCGGTCCACTACATGGGAATCCAGCGACATAGCCATTACGCTAACTGCTGGTTCCCGCACTTTTCCCTTTGCTGTTACCGTTAGCTTTCCTGACCCCGGGCCGTAGTCGCTAGCCGTTAGCTTTCCTGACCCCTGTCCTTCTTCCTGTGGGTTTTGAACAAGAATAAAGTAAAAATAAAAATATCAAGAGTCAAATGAAATGATTACACTTTGTTTCAAGTAAAGCTTCATGGGAGAGCTCGACGTGGACTTGGTGACAGAGTCGCCTCCTACCGCACCACCTTGGACACGGCTCATTTTCCCAACGTAGGACAGCAGGGCCTCCGGGTCTGAGCTTGAGGTGGTGGCTCTCTGCGTGGAGACCTCGGGCAGCTTAGGGAGAGACGCTGTGACCAAGTGTGGCCGCACCTCCCCAGCTCCTGTCCCGGGGGTGTGAGACCACCAGGCAGTGCCCACACATCCCCCAGCCCAGGGCGGGAGGGCCCAAGGAGCGGCAGGAAAGTCTCGTTAGTGGTCCTGAACGTCTTCGTTTCTATCTGATATACCAAGGTCGGGATGCCAGAAATGAGGGCTGGTTCTTCCCAGACAGGATCACAGACAGAGCACCCTCTTAGGCCCAGAGTCCCAAGAGGTCAGAGACTCTGACCCAGGAAAGTCCCCCTTTTCTGGATGGAAATCTTGCACCCCTATGTAAAAAATGGGATGCTCTGTCAGCTTTCTGCTATGGTAGGTATGTTCTCCCAAAATTCATGGGTTGCGCTTTGGTTGCGACAGGTTAAGAGGATAAAACTGAAACCATGGTGTGGGAAGGTGGGCCTCTGGGGAGAGGTCAGGATTAAGACAGTTAGGTAGGATCTCTTGACTGGATCCTGGTGGATTTATAAGGAGAGGGTGGGGAACAGACTGGATGTCTAGAGGTGTGGGCTCCTGTTCTCTTACTGCGCACCAGGTGGGCTCTGGGTCTTGGACCTCCAAACCATAAACTAAATAAACCTCTAATCTCTTACATGACCCAGGTTCAGGTACTGTCTGTTCTGAGAGGCAGAAGGGACCCAGACACGTCCTTTGCCTAATGTTTATCATTTAATCACGACGAGCATTGCAAGCTCCCGACATGAAGGAAATACATGCGAATCATGTCAAAGCTTTGCTAAAGGACTTGTCGCCTTAGCACGCGGGCGTGAGTGCTCTGACGGAAGACGGTCCCTGTGAATGACTCGGCATCGTAAAGGACTTTTCCCCCTGCAGTGCGTGGAGTGCCCTGGCCAAGCCGTCTCAGCCTGGTCCGTCTGTAGTTGCACATCCTGAGGGCCTGGATGTAGTCTGGCCCATGGTGGGAGTCCAGGACGCCGCACCCAGGTCTGCACGTACAGATCCTCCTCACAGCCCTTTCAGCCCTTACAGTTTGAAATCCAGATTATGCCCCAGCAGAAAGGGCCTCAGAAAATGCCTTTACTAGGCTCTGACCCATAATTTATCACTTCACACTTAGGTTTATTCAGATATGGCTTAATTTGGTTCAGGTCTGTGGGTTTATATTCCTTTCCATTGCTAAATGCGCTCCCTCAAAGTGGTGTTGTCTTTAACGTGACCAGTTCTATAAATTACATAACAGCGACGAAGAGAAGAAAGAGACAAAGTTATGGCTAGAAGGCAGTAATGCAAAACGCACAGGTCATATTTTACAGAGTGGGCCTTTTTCCAGTAAGTTAAGATAGTCTTCTTAGAAATATCCTTTTCTTTTTTTAAACAAAGTTTACCTGATATTTATTAGTTTTGAGAGAGAGAGAAGAGAGAGAGGGGCCCCAGAGGGGATCTTGTCTGTGGTCCTCCCTAGAGCCTCCCAGCCAGGATCGGGGAGTGCTTACAGGTGCACCTGACATACCCAGGTCTGAACCTGAGCGTCGCAGTGACTCCAAAATCACACCACACAGTGGTACCCTGCTGCTAGTGGCCCCACGACTGGGCCGGAAGCAACATTCTTTGCCTTTTGTCAATTTGCCAAAGGACTCGTGTGCTTGCCAGAGACAGAGAGACAGAGAGAGATGGAGAAGGAGTGGGAAAAGCACCCTCTCATGGGGCATGGCCCCTCCACAATCCCTTGGTCATTTATCCACCCTGTCAAGATTTTGGACACACATGCATATGCCTGGCACGTGTTTCAAGCTGCAGAGCTGGGATTTGAACTGTGTAGTCACCAGGTAGATCTGGCTCCCTTGACCACTAGCTCATGCATGGGACTGGCCCAGAGGTAGTGACCCAGCAATAGCAGAGAGTCCCCTAGATCAGAGCTCCTGAAACCAGTGTACACGTAGATCACCTGATCCAGCAGGTGGAGGGGGAAGTCTAAGACTCTGCAGGCCTAACACGCTCCCAGGTGCTGCTGAGCACTGAGTAGCAAGAACCTAAGCTACCAAATCAAAACTCCAGCTTCTCAACTCATCACAATTCATCATTTTATTCCACAGCATGTTTAAGGGAATGTTATTCTCGGGAAGATGTTTGGGATTAAAATAATTAAAAAAAATGGAAAGTACACACATTTATGTATCTCTTTTTTTCATTAAATATATATCTGTTTGGCAAAAAATGTTAGACTCTTTTGTACAAAACAAAGCAAACAAAACAAAAACCAAAAAAAGAAGAAAACAAAACCCAAACCCTTGCAAATTGTAAATACTTGTAATAATTACAATGATGTAAACTTGGATGTCTAACAGCTTGACCATCCTGTGGAACCTGTTTGCAGAACCCCCGGGAGAGGGTAACAGCAAACGCTGTTGCAAAGTGCCTCTAGTAACAGCCCATCCTAGAGGCATTTAGGTGTCGCCCGCGAGAGATGGAGCGTGACTACTGACCTCACCATTTGTGCTTTCAGCTAAGAGGCTGGGAGCATGAGTGGGAACGAGGAAGGCAGGCTGGGCTGGGCTGGGCGGAAGAGGACACCCAAGACTAGCTAGTGAGGAGGGAAGGCTGGTCACGGTCACAGTGCAGATGCAAAGTAGGCGTGGGACCTGCGGACTGTCTGCCTGGGAGACCTGATGCTGGTGAGGACTCTGATGAGGCTGCTCTGCTGCTCTTAGGATCGAAGTGGAGAGGAGTAAGGCAAAGGTGGGGAGGGAGGAGGGAGGAGATTTGGAAGCAGGTCTCAATTCAGATGGACTGGTGGTGTGAGCTGACTCTACAGCGAAGAGGAGAAAGACCAGGTGCTTGGTCTTCTCACCGGGAGCTAGGCCATTTCTGCCAGACATGTACTTTGGGGCAGTGCGCTTGGCAAGTTTTGGGGCAGTCTGGGGCTGCGGGCTTTCCTACCCCTGGAGGGAAAGACATGCCTGCGGGGGTTACATGGAAGGGCCCTTCGGCTCCCTTCCTGGCGGTGGGTTTTGCTCTGGGCACGCCAGTGGACTGCAGCAGTGGGCAGTGGCCTGAAGCAGGAGAGTCGGGACGTGAGCAAGCTGCCAGGGAGGGGCCGGAAAATGTCAGGGCTACAGATGAGGTCAAAGCAGGTGCTGACCCACAGCTTCCTTTTACCAAAACAGGATTCCAAGGCATGGGCATGTTTCCACTCCTCTCCTGTTAGCTTGATTTTCCAGTTTCGGAGGGGACGCATCCAGGCGCGGCCACTTCAGTTGCAGTCATAGACGAAGTCATAGTTGCTGGGCTCCTTGGGGATTGGTGGAGGTGCATCGGGGATCTGGATGTTTTCCAGGTCCAGGAGGCGGAGCTTGATCTCCATGCTGAGCAGAGTGTCCAGGTCATTCCGAGTCAGGTCACTCATCATGTCTTTGCCGAGCAAAGCATTCAGCCCGTCCGTCCAGATGCAGTACTAGCAGGGAAAGAGGCAACAGTGGTCACTCCTGAGCTCTGTGAAGCTGGCATTTCCGTTATGATCCACCTCACAGCAAGAGCACTGAGGCACAGTCAAGCTAGGTTTCTTGGCAGTATGTGGAGTGGGTGGGACCTGAACCTAGGTGATCTGACTCCAGTGCCTGTTCTCTTCTCTTCGAAGAATGCCTCCGTAGGTAACAGCAGAGGAGTTATCTAGGGCTGCTGTCACATCATGTCCCTTACATTGCTCCAGTGAGTCTAAGCCTTAGACATTGCTAGAATATATCCCAACACTCCCAGGCTAAACACCAAGTTACGCTTGCTTCTTTTCCTGGCTCTCATCATGACTCCTAGTCTAGGAGCTAATCTCTGCCTGTCCTATGTGATTCTTAGCACATGCAATGACAGCCCATACCACACTGGGGCCAATGTTAGTCCTTCCTGTGTGCTTCTGGGCAAAAGGATCATGAAATAGCTTTTCCCCCAATGTTTAGAGGCCAAAGGGCTAAAATTATGGGGTGATGTTAATGGGACATAGGTTGGCTGCCTGTCTAGGGACCTCTTCTGTGTGGGTCTCCAGTTTCCAGAATTTCTGTCCACCAGGTCTGATCTCTGGAGATATCACATATTTTGCAAAGTCTTTAAGAGTAACCAAGGGAGACCAGCAGGTGGCATGATGATTAAGGTGCTGGACACTCCTACATGGCCGACCATAGTTTGAGTCCTGGATCTGATGACTTGCTTTCTCACTTTTGCTTTCTCTTTCTCTGTGCCTCTCTTTGGTCAAATTAAAGTAAATGAATGAATGAATAAAGTTAAATAAATAATGTATTAAAAAGTAATCAAGTTTTGTTTTTCTTCTCCAATTAACATAACTTTTTGCCTCTCCACTAGGCTGGGGACTCCTAAGGGAGAAGGACCTGTACTGTTTATCTGAGGACTGATCTTTCATTTGCTAGATCCCCTCCCAGAGACTGGAGTCCTGCCCTGCCCTGTGTACCTGAACTCTGATGCTGGTTGTTTACCTGTTAGGTCATTTCCACGGTAACACAGGACCTTGATGACAACTGCTCTGTTCTTCCTGTTAGACTAATCTTTCTAGCATGTAGTCTAGATTTCTTCCTCTCCTGCCCTCACTGGGTCAAGTTGCAATTCCAGTCTCTACTTAGCTAATCTCGTTGCACTGTGGTTTCCTGGGTTGTATTCTAGAATGTGATAGATCTCTCCATAAAAGTAGAAAGCAGTAAAGAGTGTAAGCACTAGACGCAGCCTAATGCACCATATAATGAGATGGGAGTCAACCATGATGCACATCAGTGGCACAACTTTTGAAGCTGAGGCAGCATACAAGTCTGTGCTATGAGATCTTGTCAGAGGAGTGCCACATTAAACTGTAGGGTTTGGGTTCTGCCTTGGCTATGTAATCTCAGCCAAAGCACTTACCCACCTACACACTGGCTTAGTGACAAAGGATTTCTGGAATTTGGTGAATTCCTCATGAATACCTTAGCCAGAGTCTGAACAAGTCTAACCATCTGTTTCCTCAAAAGTAAACTTGATGGAAGAAGTTACCAAGTTCATACCTTGGGTATCCTGATCTTGTAGATCTGGAGTGAAGAAATTATTTAGAAAAGCTTCCAGGTAATTCTGATGAACAATGAAGTGCAGGTACTACTAAAATTGACGTTCTCAAAGCCCCTTCTAGGTCCCTAAGTCCTGGGGATTAATGCTCTCTGTCCACAGTGCCCAGTCCTGACTTCCTACTACAGATTAATTTAACTCACAGAACATTTCTATGCTGCCTTTTTCTTGCTACTAAAAAGTATATCGACCAACAAATAAAAATTCTTTCATACTGAATGCAAGTTAGGACCATTGGTATCACCTCATGATTAATTTTATCTTTAAAAGTAATTCTTCTCAACTCTGTCCAAAAAATAAATATTAACCAAGTAGTAATAAGCATACTTTATGCACAGATTCTAAATACCATTTTTGAAATGCTATTTGCTACTACAAGTAACCAAAACGCCATACAGAAAAGGCAGAGACTATACACATAAACCTTGGGTATCTTGTCATACCAGAAAGTTACCAAAGACACAGGGGATCATGGCAATAGGACTCAGAAGCCAATCTGATGGTGTTCCAACTTTCCCCAGTTAGGATAATTTGAACACTCATAATGACAACTGCAATATATTAGGACACAAATATGTTTAAGTCCATGACTTTATAATAATACTCCAACACCAAAAGCATTTATTGGTATTCTTTGAAAGATGCTTAATATTTTGAAAACTGGTAAAGTGAATCAAGGTTTCAACCTGCCCATCATACATACATTGCATAACTTGAGGGCAAACAAATAGTTGATGAGGCCTATATCTGTTTATACACCTTAGTCTATTATGCTGCTATAACAGAACAGGAAATTGGCACTAAGGAGTGGAGTGTTGCTATACAGTTACCTGAAAATGTGGAAGTAGCTTTGGGACTGGGTAAGGGTAATGGCTGGGACATTTTTGGAGGAGCAAGCTAGAAAAGCCTCTATTACAGCAAATGGAGCATTAAAGGTGATTCTTGTGAAAGCTTAGAGGAATACAAAAAGACTAGGCAAGGTTTGAGACTTATTAGAGATTGGATAAGTGGCTGTGACCAGAATGCTGATAGACATATGGACAATAAAGGCCATTCTGAGGTGGTGCCATATGGCAATGAGAAGCTTACTGGGAACTGGAGGAAAGACTATACTTGCTATGAAGTAGCAAAGGATTTGGCTGTATATTCATGCTGTAAGACTGAACTTAAGAATGATGAACTCAGTGATGTAGTGGAAGAAATTCCAAACAACAAAGTGCATACGTTGTTACACAGTAACTTTTGACTGCATTTATTGGAATGAATAGGTAAAGGGAAGGAGAAATGAAATATTTGGAAATTACACATGTTGTAGAGAATGAGATAGCATTTCTAAGAAAGGAAAATAAGAGTGTAGACAAGTTAATAGAGACTCTCATGAATAGAAGAGAGCAGTTGCCTGTGAACACGCAATGGGGAAAAGGACCTGAAGTCTTCTTGGAGATTTTCAAGGCTGCCCTCCCAGCATTGGCCCAGAGGTCTGGAGTTCAGAATGGTTTCTGGAAATGTAGGGTATCTGCACCTTGCATCCTGGCTCAGTACCTGACTTCTTTGGTTGCCCTAGCCATGGCTCAAGTGCCCCTAAGTGGACAGCTTGAACCACCACCACACAAGGCACAGAGAATGGGTCTTGACAGTGGCAATGTCCATGAAACTAATTATGCAGAAATACAGAATGTAAGAGCTGTGATGGCATGACAACCTCCATTTAGATTTCAAAGGATGTATCAATAGACCTGACTCAGGAGTAGAGCCACAGGAGAGAGCCCCACGAAGGCAATGCCAATGAAAATGTGGGTTAAGGGCTGTCTCCCTGGTTATTCCAAACCAATCAAACATCAGCATCATACAACACTCACTTAAGAAAGTTACGGCCATCAGTGAGAGCAGCTATATGGACTGCATCCAACAAAGCCACTAGAGCAAGGCTTCTCAAAGCCTTGGGGGCCCAACCCCCATTCCAGAGTGTCTAAAATGCAGGACACAGAGTCAAAGAAGATTGTTTTTTGAGCTTTAAGATTTAATGTCTACCAGGTTTCAGAGTTGCTTAGAGCTTTTTTTCTTTTTAGAAATGGAAATTAATACTCTGAACTTGTCCGACAATCATATTTGGGAGGTGGCTAATGTATCTTCTTGATTTTATAGGCTCACAGTTGGAAAGAATTTTCTGTGAGTCTCAGATGAGATTTTGGACTTGTACTTTAGGGATCCTTGGAATGGAATGATTGATTGCATTTTATATGTGAAAGACATGAATTTTGCAGGAAGGCAGAAGAGGAAAACTATGGTTAGAATATTGTGTCTCTGCTAAAATTTATGCCATAACTTGACACCCTATGGTGCAGTGTTGGGAGTGGAATCTCTCGTGAATAATTAATGCTGGCTCCTGGGGTGGGGTGAGTTCTCATTAATCAGTCTCGTGAAAGCTGGTCATTATAAAAGCAAGTCGGCTGCCCACAGGTCTCTGTATATGCCCGCTGACTTCTCACTTCTCTACCATGTTGTGACTTAGCACCAGATTGGCCCCAAGCTCTTGGACTTCCTAGCACCAGAATTGTGAGCTGAATAAACCTCTTAAAAATAAATCACATAGTGTCAGGTATTCTGTTATAGCAACACTTACAGTCTAAGATAACATCTCACTAATATGTGAAGGAGAAATAAGAGAATTAGGATATCAGCCTTTTGTGACCTCTAGTGAATCCAAAGATCTAGACATCATCACCAGTGGCTGCAAATGTACCAAAAAGGCAAGAAGACACCCTGAAAATATCACTTCTGCTCAAAAATCTCTCCTGAAGTAATCCTGTAACAACCAGTTTATATGAAATGCAGAGGACAGGTGAATATGTGAAATACCATTGCTGGTTGCAGTAGGAGTTCCTTTCCAAAATGTCTACATCCTGCAAATCTACGAGGCCACATGGCAGAGAATTAAGGCTGATGTCGGTTGACATTAAAATAGACTGCCTTTGGGTATCCAGGTGGAATAGTGTAATCACACGGGCTGTTAAGGGTGTGGTAGTTAAGGCACCGGACTCCCACATGACCAACTGTGGGTCAAGCCCCAGACCTGGTGGCTTGAAAAACACACTGGGCGCTCGTGCCAAAAATCCCAAGGGGAGGATGGAGGAGATGGGATTCTGGCATAGCCATCCCCCTGGGGGATGATTTTTCACTTTCCTTCTCTCTGTCTCTGTCTCTGGTGAGTACATGCACTCTATGGCAAAAACATTTCTTAAAAAGAGAGAGAAGGATGTAAGAGAGGAGTCATAGAAGTGGGATTTGGGTGAGAAAGAGGAGGCCAGGGTGATGTGATGAGAAGGCTCAACCCACCAGGGCTAAGGGGAGAGGTCAAGGGATGGGGCGGCCTCAACAAGCAGAGAAGGCAAAGCAGGGTCAACCCTCGAGACTCTGAAGAGGAACACGGCCCTGCTGACACCTTGATTTCATCCCATTTAGACCCACATCTGGCTTTGACTTCCAGAACTGTAAGCTAATACATTTGTGTTGTTTTAAACTCATGTTATGTTTGAGTTTGTTCCAGTGACACAGTAAACAAACACAGTTATAATCAGTGCAGTCTAGGCTACAGACCATGTTATAGGACTAATGACTTTATTTCTTTGATAAATAAATTGTAAGGAAATACAGCACATGCTCTTGGCAGTGAGAAAAAGAGAGAGTAAACTAAATTCAAAGAAACCCAAGAACCAGGTTGACCACTGCAATGTGTGGCTTTTATTTGGATTCTGATCTCAGCAAAGTATAAAGGAAAACATGTACAACTGAGAGAGCCAGAGAAATGGAGGATCTGTCTCCAGTTATTATTCTATTTAGGTAAGATAACGACATTCTATGTGACTCTTCATTACCGAATGATGCATGTAAGAGTATTTATAAATGAAATAATATATTTGGATTCGCTTCAAAATAATATGGGGGGGGTGCAGCTGGGTGTTGGGGGAGGCATGGGAGAGGCATAGAGAAGACAGACTGGCCATGGGCTGACAACTCCTGAAGCCGCGTGACGGGGCTACTGGCAAGTCTCGAGCTCGGTTCCTGCTCTATCCCTTCCCAGTTCCTCAGGGCAGGGGCTAATGGGCAGGGATTTGGGAGCAAGACTTCCAGGGTTCTAATACAGAGGACTCGTGTGACCATGGACAGATATCTTCATCTCTCTGGGCCTCATTTCCTTTCTAATAAAATGGGTATAAATATTAGTTTGTTGTTCTTAGAGCTAGAACTAAGTGAGATGAACTATATATACCATTTAATGGTGTCTGCTACAGAGTAAGCTAGGATAGTTATAATTACCATTTTGTAAAAGTTTATTTACTTATTTCTAGTGAGAGAAAGAGAGACAACGAGAGAGAGAGGCATCTTCCACAGGGCCCCCACGCCACAACCCACTCGCAGGCAGTCCCAGCCAGCCCTGATCATGGGCACGTGTGTGCATGCATGCTCGGTGCGCTCAGGGCTGGGGCCTTCCCCATGCAGGTCCAGCTGTGTTCCTGCGTGCTGCCTCCTGGCTCCTCCCACCATCCTTTCTGTTGCTGGGGTATCGGTGTTGGACCGCCTCTCTCCCCCTCTGTGATAAATGAGGATACTCTTAGTAGGCCTTCCTGTCTTGTGGAATGATTATGAACATGAAGTGAGGAGTAGATATGCAAGCAGTCTGAAGAAGTAAGGGCTCACAGCGTGTGCTGTTTCTCCCTTCCTGTGTCTACGGAACCGGCACACATGGACAGAAATATGGCTGTCCCAGAGTGTCCATTCTTCTCTGGAATCAATGCACACTGGGGAAGACAGCCTTGCACAGATTTAAATAACATCCAAAGTTCTACTATTTTAAGTAATTTTCTGTATAGCTCTATACGTCGTGAATAGGGTGCCCTGTGCATAACCGCAATTTTATTTAAAATCAGAAACAGTAGGACACAGTGTCTATTTCCAGAAAGATGAAGACAAAGTCTTACCCTTCTGCAAACTAAATGTCAAGTGACACAGAATTATATTTAAGCACCATTCTAAATGCAGGATTTGTGTCTAATCTTTCCTCTCGTCGGGATGTGCAATTTTATTCAAAAGCTTCAAACCAGTGAAAGCCAGATACTGAATAACTTCTAAATGAGTTAAATCTCCCCGGGGAAATAGGGAACAAAAGTCAGATTCTATTAAAATGTTCCCTTCCTTCCTAAAAGCTGTTTATGCAACCACACGCAAAACAAAAATTTGAACGGTGCCAACTAAAAATAAAAGTTCCAAGCATGATGTTGGGTTCTAGTTTACAAGAGAAAAAGTTAAATCAACCATAACTGTTACTTTATCTTACAAATGCATTTTCTTAGATTTATGCTAAATATTTTAAATATAGCTGACAGCGTGCTTCAAGAAGAGAAACAAATTATACATATAACAAGATGTCAAAAAGGAATAAAAGCATCTTGAAAATAAAATTCCAACAGCAGAGACAGCTCTAAACCTCTTAAAATAGCTTAAAGAAAGTTGGTAAGAAAACCTACTCAGGAGTTTTGAGAGATTTTTGCTATAGGGCCCATGTGCTTGCTAGAGAGACAGAGAGAGACAGAGAGACAGAAAGCGAGAAATCACCCCCCATTTCCAATAGAAATGGCCATGATGTGGCCCCTTCTCCACTCTCCTCTTGGGATTTCGGGCATGCGTGCACATGCGCCTAGTGTGAGTTTCAAGTCACCAGGCCCTGGACTCAAACCATGGTCGGGCATGTGGGAGTCCAGTGCCTTAACCACTATGCCACCAGCTAGCCCCCATGAGATGTTTTAAAGAATAGAGACCAGTTTATCTTGGAAAAATCCAGGTCACAAACTAAATATTCAAAACCAAAGTTGTAACCAGGGTGGCTTTTCCCTCTGGGTTATCAAGCATACCTTTGCTGAGTTTGAGGTATTTATATAACCCTTATCTTTTGTTCCCTAATTGCTGGGGGTGTGTACTCACACAGTGAAGGGTTAGAAATCACCCTCAAATGGGGCGCGGTTATGCCACAAGCCTCCCTCCTCTATTCTGCATTTCGTTGGGATTTGGGGCGTGCATGTACATGTGCCTGGTGTGGTTTTCAAGCTGCCCCGTTGGGATTCAAACTGTGGTCGGCCACGTGGGATCTGGCTCCTGCAAGCACTCGGCTACAAGGCTGGCCCGGAATCTATCCCTTTCCTTCACCAGAAACTACTAATCGAGCTAGTGCAAAGTTGAACCTGTTGTAACCGGCGTCTTTCAGGAGGTTTCTACTCTATCCCACGCCAACAAGGTGCTCCTTTGGTAATGGTTTTCTTGGGCAGATGTATTTATGTATGTATGTATTTATTTGTTTGTTAATGACAACTTTGTTCTTCGCCCTAGTTTCTCTTCTGGTTTCCTTGGGAAATAAACGTTCCTTCTTGGATCCACCCCGAGACCCTTACCTCGTGCTTGTCAGGAGCAATGAAGTTCAGTTGGCAGTTGGAGTCATACAGGATGGAGAAAGCAAGTTCAAGCACCTCCTGCAAGAGATCAGAGAGGACGCGCATTACGGAACGCGGCACGTCCATTCGCAGTTACAGGAGGCTGCAGCCGGACACGGCAGGGCCCGCAGCCCACCCAGGCCAGGGAGGAGGGAGTACGCCTCTCAAGGACCGAGACGTGAGGCCCTCTCTCTATTCAGAAGCGTCCCATTTAATTCTCCTACAGCCCAGTCAGCAGCTGCTCTTACTCCCTTCTAAGGAGTAGGATGTGGTCAGGTCACGTACATCTTCCAGGGCCTCAAAGCCCCAGAGCTCAGCTATTCTCCTTCCTTCAGTGTCTCCCCACCACAGAGAAACATGGGCCACAGAAAACTGCGTCCTCGTCAGCATTAAGGGCTGCTCTACCTTCTGGTACGGCAGAACACGGGCCCGGGCATGCACTCCCTGAGAGGTGGAGGCTCCACGGGAGGAAGGAGGCATCTGGGTGAATGCATTACCTGCGTGTCTGCCCGCTGACCTCTGCCTACTGGACAGCAGAGTCTACACAGCCTGATTTCACCAGCGGAGGCTGCGGGGTACAAAGGGGAGGCACGGCTGAGGGACAGAACCCCTGAGCTCATCTGCTGCTGAGCAATTGCTCGGTGTAGTCTAGGGGCAGGCCCAAAGGACCGAGGATCAAGTGACCCCGCCATCTCCCTGCAGCTGAATGATCTCGGCCGAGGCACAGGGCGTCCTGTGTAATACGAAGATGCTCCCCTTGAATCGAACAGACTGTCGTTGGGCACAGTGATCATCCTACTGGTCCGAGCAGTCGGCAGGTGCAACCTTCAGAAGATCCGATGCACCAGCTCAATCCCCTCCTGGCTCTGAGTCCGGAGAAGGGCCACGTGTTTGCACACCGGTGTGCTGCACTGTCACTCCTGTCCCAGTGCCTTCCTTCTGTCCTCCTCCGGCCCCTGGTGACCTGCGCTCCTCCTGCTGTCCTCAGGTGCCGCACCGCTCAACGAGTGCTCAGGAAGCAGTTCTGGTGTGGGAGCCAGGTCTTCCTACGTCGCGCTCTGTCTTCATCTGCCGGAGGACTTGGCTCTGGCCGGTGACTCACAGGGAATAAACAAGTCCCAGAAAGAAGATGGAAGGCAAAAAGACGAGCTCCGTGCCTCCTGATTGCAGTTTCCGATGGATTAAAGAACTCTCCCCCAGTGAACTCGGA